GCTGGACCTGGGCACTGCCCATGGGGCTCCCAGGGGCAGGCGTGGAGGATGGGGTCAGGGAGAGGCTGTTCTTACCCAGGTCCCTAAAAATATACTCACTTGACAGCCAGTTTGCCAAGTGACCAATCTCCAAGTGGCTGATTCACTGAACAAACCAAACTGACCAATTTACTGTTAATTTTTTCTTTCACTTCGAAAGTATACAGCAATTTTAGTGAATGGTTTGGCATTTGTTTTCCTTTTGTCTTTGTAGCAGCATTTTAGGGATGTTCAGATGGCCAAAAGCTAAGGGTGGGGCAGTTTAGTTTAATAAAGGCCCTTACTATTTTTAACTGGAGAAAGACTTTCTGGAGACATCCATCAGGAGCAGGGCATTCTGAGAACTCTGCAGCATGACAGGCTTTCCGGGCCTACTGACCCCCAGGTGCCACGTGACCTGTGCCTGGGGCTGACTCGCCCCGTGATATGGGCCCTGTCCCTGCTCCGGTCTGGGCCTCAGACTCCTCACGGACAAAGAGCTCATCATGAGGTCCTTGCTGACGTTGATGAGTTTCCCTGGAACTTCCTGTGACCTCAGCCTCCCCATGTGGCCAGGGTCCGGGCTGTGGGCACCAGAGAGGGTGCTGACTCTGCTGGCAGTTGAGGAAAGCCCCGCTCGGAAGTCAGAGTCGTAACAGCCAGCACTCACCCATACTGTGCTGGTGTCTGTCTGAACCCTGGCAGTGCTGGGTCCCGCACCCTGACCCAGGCCGGGGGCCTAGACGCTCTGAGCCGGGGGAACCGGGCCACAGCGGGTGGGGCCCCGGTGACTTTCCTTTCCTGGTAACACGCTTGCTAACCTCATTTCCTTTTTCTGAAGGGAAATGCCATTGACATCACACAACTGGATTTTCAGCAGGCCCGATGAGAACTCGTGATCTTCTTGCCGGCAAAAGGATGCGTGCGTCCGCTGGGCGCAGACCTGTCCAGTGGTGATTTGGGCAAATTCTGATCTGAGACTCCTACTTGTTGCTTCAGAAAAGCGATCCATAGGCCAGAAAGGGACGAAGACACACCCTAGGGTCCACAGCCAGACAGTGGGGTGAGGGCCAGAACCCAGGCACCTCACTCCCAGCCTGGGCTCTAGAGGGAGGGGCCTAAACTGCTCCTCGAGCTGTGTCTTCATAATGGCTCTAACACCCACCAAGCTGCCCAAGCCAGACACTGGCCCCGGCGTGGTCTCCTCCCTCCCCAGCACCTTCTCCCTGCAGCTACCTGTCTCCTCCAGTCTACCCGCAAGCTACATCTCAGCTCAAGCCTCCTCGCCTCTCTCTAGATCCCCTGCCCAGGTTCTGCTCAGGCCTCCCCACACTCACCCGGACCTCTTCCTCCAATCCTTCCAGCTGGCCAGGTGATGTTGCCAAAACACAGTCTTCGGGGCTTCCTAGCAGGGCATTCGAGGCCCTCCAAGGTACCCCCCATCTCCTCAGCCATGACCCCGATCAGCCCCCTGGTTCCCTCAGTGCAGAGGTTACTTGCCACCTGGGGTGTGGAACTGTCTTCCACTTGCTCTTCCCTCTACTGGGAACTCCTGCCTCTACCTGCACATTCTCGCCTAAATCCACTCCCAGCCGAGAAGCCGCACTCCAGGACCTGTCCGCTCACTGCCTTGGAGGGAACTGACCTCTTTGGTTGACATGTCTGAGTCCTCCTTCCCACCTCCTTGAGGGCAACAAAGACATTCTCTGGTGGAAAATTCCGAGCACAAACAAACACAGAATAGTGCAAAGAAGCCCACATGTTCCTCACCCAGCTCCAACCCTCAGCTGCTCGAGCCCCTCTCTCCACGTGCACACCCCCAGCTCCCGCCCCACTGGGCCATTTGGAACGACTCCAAAACATCGAGTTATTTTATCCATAAATACTGTTGTATGAAATTCTAAAAGGTAAAAGCATGGCTAGAACACAATCATCATACTTATATTTTAATAATATCTTTGGTATCATCAAATACACAGGAGTGTTGAAATTTCTCCAGACCTCCGAATAACAATACCAGTAGTATTACCAAAAATATACCCTGGCTGAAAACATTCCACAGTTTGTCTGCGTCCTTTTGTCCTGAGGGTTCACACCCTACAAGTGACATGCAGTCAGGTCTCTGGGTTTCAAAATCTCTCCGGATAATTCAGCTCTGTGTGGTGTAGCCGTGGATTCGAAACACAGACTTACTTATTTAACTCCGTTTTAAATGTTTTGAGATTGCTTCTGACTTCTATTTTGATTTAACTTTGTTTCATTTTTATGCAAAGCATTTGCCTGGTTCCAAAATTAATCTGCAAAACAAGGTCTATTCCAGGAAGTCTACCCCTGTTCCCTTTAGCCTATTTCTTCCCTTCTCCAGAAGATAACAATTTTAAACTTAGATTTTTAAACATGTTAACCGGTGTTTTGAAATTAGAGACACTACATGTTCCCTTTTCTTCGTAAACGACAGTGTGTGCAGACATGTTGTCCCACTGGGCCGTCTCCCGTGGCACCGCACCCTGCAGACAGGCCGTCACAGCGCCGGGGGAGCAGACTCCTGCCCGTCGCCGCTGCACAGTCGTCCCCCGAGTGGACAGACAGCACCTCCTGATCAAATGTCCCTCCTGATGGACATTTGAGTGGTTTCTAGGTTTTTTACTATTCTAGGCGGTGCTTCCATGTACACCTTGTATGCTTGCATCTGGTCTTATTTTTGCTAGTATATCTTTGGAATAGATTCCTGCAAGTGGGATTACTGGGTCAAAGGGTAAACACGTAAGTATTTTTCTAGAAACTGCCAAATTTCCCACCGTATGGCATTCCCACCAGAGAGTGTACAAGAGGGCCTGTTCGCCCAGTCTTGCCAACAGAATGTGTTGTCCCACTTTGGGGTTCCTGCCAATCTGGTAGATGAGATTCGGTATTGTGGCTTAGTTTTAACTGGTGTTTCTCTGGTTCTGAACAAGGTCAAACATGTTTTTATTGGTTTAGATTCTGATTCACTTTTGGGTCCACAGCCCTCAGCTGGCACAGACGAAGTTCTTAGGAGCGAGTTCTAGAACGAAGGGAGGAACGGGCGAACGAACCAACCGAGGCTAGCAGGGGTAGCTGCCGTGCCCAGGGCCGTGCGTCCAGCACCGGCACAGCGGGAACCAGCACTGTTCTCCTTCCCCCTTGTCTAATCCATCTTTTTCCGACTGAACTAGAGACAAGTTTATAGTAGACTTTCTCTGACTATTAAGTGAATACAAGCTTGTAGTAGAAGGTTTGGAAAGCACAGGAAATTATAAAACTAGAAAAAATTTCAATTTTTCTATCCTGAGTCGACCATTTTTCACATTCTAGTCTATTTCCTCCCAATCTTTATGCATGTTTTCAGTTATGATCACATGACATATATGGCTCTGTATTCTTTTTTCTTCACTCAGGAATTTTCCACATTAATAATAACCTTTTACAAACATAATTTTACTGGCTGCACATTATTTTACTGTCTGAATACATGCTAGCATATTTAAGCCTTTAGGTGACTGCTGGGCTTCTAGATTGTTTCCAGATTTTTCTATTATAAATAAATTTCACCATGTTCATCTTTGTTTGCATTCTGGATTTTCCCCTTTAGGATTGATTCCTGGAAGCGGGGCTCCTAGAATCCCAGCACTGACTTCCAAGTTCAGGGCTTTTCTTGGCTGCGCTCAGAGGAGACTGCTTGTTAAGCTCTTACCCCATGACTCTGCGCAGCCCCGGGCCTCCCCTGGTTCTCCGTGTCCATGATCTTGACTAGCGATACACTCTCACCCAAGTCAGGTCAGCAGAGGGACTGAGCCAGGTGGGATGGAGCCCACTCAGGATGGAGACTCAGACTCTGCTGTCACTTGCCCCCATGCTCCTTGCCCTCCCAGGGCTGTGAATAGACAGCCTGGAACCACCGAGGGGAAACTGCACAGGAGCAAGGTCACATCTGGTAGAAGGCGCTAGCAGGCAGCGATGCTGAGTGGACGCTACTTCCGCTGTGGAAGCCCTCGCCATCCAGTGGAACAGACAGCTGGGCTTGGACCCTCCCGTCCTGAGAAGGTCTCCATGATGGACTCAGACACAGCACCATTCACAGAAGGAGGGACCTGGGAAAACTGACTGGAAGAGGCATCAGTTGAGTTTAGTAGGGAGGAATATAGGTCTTATTTGACTGGTGAGGTTGGGCAGTGATCCATCATGAGGGACCCTGTACACTAGGTCATGGATCCTGCACTCTGTCCTGGAGGTAGTGAAGTGGGCAGATGACGGAGCCAGGTCAGTATGAAGAACAATCCCTCTGCCTGCTGTGTCAGCAGCAGGGTTGCAGATGGGAATTGGACAGACTGTTAGAACAAGGCCAGCATCCAAGCAAGAGGCTGTGAAGCCAAATCTAAGCAGCGGCCATAGGGATGGAAAAGGAAGATCAAGATGAGAGACACTGGGTACAGAGTCACTAATCAAAGCAGAAAAAGTTATGCCAATTTATGACCTTCCTGTCACGTATGGAATAAGAGTCCTGGACTCAGAGTCAAGGTACCTGTATTCCAGTCCCAATTCCGTATGACCCAGCGCAAGCGCCTTGCCTACCTCTGAGCCTCAGCTTTTTTCCACTTTTGTACACCCAGGCAGTTGTACTAGATCATCTCCCGGGGCCCTTATGTTCTGAAACCCATAATCCTAGGGCTGCAAAGTGGCCAAGGTCCCTGTGGGGAGAGGAAAGAAAAAAACAGGCTGAGCAAAGGGAGCACCCTGGGCTGGGGCCTCAAAGTCCAGTCGCTCTGTCTCCCTGCCCCATCCATCTTGCAGCATTAATGTTAGTGGGGTGGTCTGGGCCCCAGCCAGAGACCAGCTGCAAAGGGGGAGGAGTCGTCTGGCCAGAGAAACAGAGGAAAGAATGTAGAGCTCCCAAAAAGCTGTGAACAAGTCGTCAGCTCTGGCCGGGTGCCTGGAGGTTTTGCAACTGTCCTCCTAGCTTGAGTATCAAGAGTGGGTCAGCATGGGGAGGGCGCTGCGTTCCTCCTCTGTGCATCAGAAACTGAGGACGACAAGGGGCACTGAAGATGCTTTGGCTGCAAGTAAGAGAACACCCAGGCCCCCACATCTGCATAAAACAGGACAACGCACCACCTCGCACCACTGCAGCTCTGGGGTGTGTGGCTCCGACACCAGCAGCAGCAGCAGCAGCGGCAGCTGGTGTCTTCAGGAATGCAGACTTTTCCATTTCTCTCTTATCCTCAGATGCTTCCCTTTGTGGCCCCATGACAGCTGTCACTCTCCCGAGGATGAAAGACGGCTGACAATGGCAATGGGAGCTACTGGCTTCCACGTGAATGTCCAGCAGGAGAGAGCAAGAGAGGACTTCTCTCCCAGCCCCAGACTGTAAGTCCTTTTCTTTGGTTCACATAGGATGACTTGAGTCATTCCCAACTGATAACAGTCTCTCGGGGAAGGCCGTGTGCTGATTGACTCAGATTAATTGGGACCCAGTGTGAAACCTGGGGGCAGGGAGAATGAACAGAACTGGGGTCCTGTGAGGAAGGAAGAGGCGAACAGATGCAGGGTGGGCAACAGACACATCCACATGACCATGAGCCCCCATCCCCCATCAACTCATTGGGTCCCTACCAAGTCCAGGGGTCAGCAGGACAGCTGTCCTTTCTAGATGACCACTGAGGTCATTGAGGCATCAAAGTGGAGTGGACTTGGGTCACACAGCTGGTGAGTAGCAGAGCCTGAATTGAGAAAAATAAATACACAGCAAACAAACTGAGCAGGCCAGCCTTCCCCAGTCAAGCTCCTCACCCTGCTCCCTCAGGCAGGGGGCCTGCTGACTCCTCTGGGCTTCCACAGCGCCTGCCCAGCCAGTGGCCCCCAGTCTATCAGAGTCTCCTCGCAGTAGTGGACACCATCTCCCTCTCCCACTCCCCAAGCGTGCTCTCATTCGCTCACCAGATGAGGCTGTCTAAGAACTCAGGATCCAAAGCCAGGGGTGTGGGTTTGAAGCCCAACTTTGAGTTTCTTTGTCCATGACTTTGACCATGAACCTCACCTTTACCTCTTGACATAACTGTTGGGTGTTCAGATGAAATGAGGAGATGGTGCTTTACTGACTGTGAAGTGTCATGGGAACCACCAGGTTTCCTGTCTCCTGGTGGAAAGGGTCTTTCCTCCAGCCCTCACTGGCACTGGAAGGCACCAGGAAACAGGCAGCCGGTGGGATCAATGACACATCCAGACATGGATCCATTCACCTGCAATTGCATAGCCCAGATCTGTCAGCTGATAGATGAGGAGACAGGTCCTGAGAGTGGCAGTGACTTGCCCAAGGTCACACAAGAGCAGAACCCAGCCCTCTGGCTCCCAGCCCTGTCCTCTGCACCAGGCCACAGGGGTCAGCTGAGGTCCACCACCCGGCCCGAGGGTGGGTGCAGCTGCAACGCAGTCTGTGACCGCCTGCACGTCTCCACGTTTCTCGGGGGCCATTCTTCAGGGGTTCACTGAGGCGAGGCCACACTTCCCCTCGGGCGGCTTCCTGTTTTGGCCAAACAATGACTCTTGCCGGGACCTGGTGCCAGCTGGCTGCAGCTGTTGCCAAGGCCCTGATCCTTACATGCAGAGAGGGGAGACCTCGGCCCTGAGGATCAGCTGCCGGCCTCCCCGGGCCATGACCCCACACTCAGATGTGGCCTCTGGGCCCCACTGAATTCAGTAATCCCTTCAGGGACCGGTCACACGCATTCGAGCACCTTCTGTTTGCCAGGGTCAGTCTGAGTACCCAAAACACAGAGATACATAGGGCAAGAGTTTAGCCATTCTGTATTTATTCTCCGTCCACGAGGAGAAGGAGATTGTTCAAGGTACCAGCGGAGCAGCTACGAGTAGGATACGCCTTATACATCAGCTGACTGGTTCCTCTGTCCGTCCTCCGGGTGCCTTTCGGGAGCTCGGGGTGGGCTGTGCCTGTCTGAGTGAGCCAGTGCGTCCAGCTCCTTCCGGCAAGAATGTCTCAGGGCACATTGGGGAAGGGGAACCAGTGGGTGTGGGTAAAAATAACAAAGGGGAAAATTTTTATGAGGAGTTTTTAAATAGGTGAGTAAATCAAGATTCAGATATGCAGAGGGAGAGGGTAGAGCTGGGACCGCCGACCCAGGTGCTCAGACTCCGAGCATCGCACACCAAGATGCTGTAAAATGCACCCAATCCAACGTGAAGGTAGGGATGCCGTGAGTGTGCCTGTGTGTAAGGGGGGTGGGGGCGCCTGCTGATGAATAAAATATGGGGGGGTGACCAGACCACGGAAGGGAAACATTGAGTGCTCTCTATGTGCTACACACCTAGCCCCTTGTCATTTCCACTCTACAGATGAGGGAAATGTAGAGGTGAAAAAACTTTCACCCAGATCCCTCTTGGGTGCTGGCAGCCTGCCTCACGTCTGTCCTCTGTCCCACTCCATGTCCTAGAAGGTGGACTTCTGTGGGTGCATCACCTCACCTTTCTGTTAGGTTCAGCCAATGGCAGGCTGTGGCAAGAGACCAGCAAGAGAGGAGTGAAGGGTCAAAGCATTTGGTCCCCCTGCTCCTCCCTGTGGGGCTGCCATGCTGGTAGCTGCTACATTCTGAGGTTGCGGCTCCAAGGACCAACCTGGCCCCGGAATGAACGCACCGTTGCTGTCTCCGGATACTGCAGGTCTAGGCAGGTAGCCGAGTCCTGCTGCTGCTGGCCCAGGGGTGCCCCACTTTCTGTTGGTTCTCTTCGCCATGCCCATCTTTCCGTTCATCTCTCTGCAGCCCCGCACCGTGAGTGGTCCTGTTGCCTGCTGGGATCCTAGCCAGGACAGAGCTGGATGCTTCCCCCACCTTGCTGCCTTGCTCCCCGTGTCTGTTGGGATGCCCCCCAGCACCCCATCCACACCTGCCTGAGACAGGGCAGTGACTTGGCAAAGTCTGCTTTGCCCTGGGCATCCTGAATAGTTTGGGGGCTGGCGCTGCTGTGAAGACAATGAGAAGAAAGTTTCCAAAGACTGGGACCAGGTTCCTCCCCTTCTTCCATCTCCTGGGACAGGCTAGATCTGCTGGGCTCAGGGCCTGGGAGAAGCACAGCACTCTGCTTGGAATGGTGGGAGAGGGGTAAGTCTTGGCAGAGTAGCAATCTGGACCCAGGCTTGTCTGCTTCCACCCCCGAGCTGGAGGTTAAGAAGGTACCAGAGATGGGGGTGAGAAGCAGCAGAGGCTCTTCCTGCTGAGCTGTAGGACCCTTAGAGGTCACCTACAGCAACCCTTTGGTTCAGCAGCCGAAACAGGCCCAGGAGTGAGGGGCATGGCCGAGGTCACTAGGTAGGTGCCCCTCAAGTCTGCTTCAAGCCCAGTGTCGTCCCCTGAGCACCACACACAGAATTGCACGTGCCCCAGAGACCTTTGTAAACCACGAGAACTGTGCCCAACACAGCCCCTTCCTCCTCACTCTTCCCCATGTCCCCTTTATCGGGGAAAGACAGGAGAATCCCAGAGTCGGCCCCGACGATCTCTCTCCCACTTCTCTCTGCACCCCAAACCCTTACCTTCTCCAGCTTCTCACCAAGTCCAGCAGTTCCACTTTCTCAACTGCCCTGGACTCTGTCATCTTCTCTCCAGGTGGTCCCCACTTCCCTAGTCTGGGCCTCGACTCTCCACACAGTCACGACAATGACCTCCTCACTGGTCTCCCTGACCCTGGTCTTGCTCCTGCTAATTGATCTCCACTTAGTCTTTCAGAAATACAAACAGGAGCATGTGTCTTCTGTGCTGAAATGGAGCCCAGACTCGCTAACCTCCGTGATCTATCCAGGCCTCCCCCTCCAGCTCCACCTCCAAAGCAAACGATGGTGCACATCCACTCGCCTTCGTTGGCTTCTTCACGTACGGTTCTGGGTCCGTTGGGAATGGCCGCCTCGGAAAGGGTTCCTTCTCATTTCCCCCAGAGCCTGCATCGCTCTCTTAGTTTGGGTTCCTCCAAAACCAGGCTATAGCACCAGGCCTTGGTGTGCAAGTAGTTTACGGAGGAGGTGACCCCAGGAAGGGGAGTACGGGAGTGGGGACAGTGAGTCGGGGAAGGAAGGAAGGCCCATGCCAGGGTGTGTTATATTCATCTCCACAGAGGGCGACAGGACCTTTCGTTCCAACAGGACCCTGCAAAGCCCACAGACACCTCCCAGAAGCGTCCGCCTGCAGGCTGGGAGGCTGGGAGTCCATCTGTTGACTCCCGTCCCATCGGCTAGAGCCTGTAGTCTTCTTGGCTGCGCTGCCTGCCCCTGCGGAGATAGTGAAGGACCTGCAGCCCACGCAGAAACCCATGGCTCAAGCTTGTGGCAGAACTCTGGCCATGGGGAGGGATCTCTGGCTGAAATCAGATGCGACAGTTGCTTCAGAGGCGGTGGCACAGGCACATTTCTCACTCCACCAGGCCGTCTGGCTTGCTGGCGCTCAGCTGCCCTTGAGGCGCCCCGAGCTGTGGAAGAAGAGGCTGCGGTCGGAGTGCACCTGAGGAGCTCTGGAAGGGCTTGGCTGTCAGACTTTCTGAGTTCACGTCCCGCTTCGGCTGGTACCAGCTGGGGGACCCCGAACCAACGCATCACCCTTGAGCCACTATGTCACACTCAGCAGTAAAATAGGGACAATAGTTTCTACCATACAAGCTATTTCTGAGAATGAAATGTGCCCTTGGAAATGAATGCATAAAGCAGTCTGATGCCAAATGCAATGTTATGACTTTTTTCTTCCCTCACAAAGCCGCTGCCACAGGCTCCTCCTCACTCTGCTCCCTCGGCTGGGAGTACCCCCTCTACTCCATGCCACGGGTTTAGCCTACGCTACCCAGAAACCCTGGCCTCCTGGGGGCAGTGCTGGTTTGACCTTGTCCCGGCTTCTTCGGGCCAGCACATTTGCCACCCCCTCCCCCGCTCCACTGCATAGAGCAGAGCTGGCTTTTGTGGGAACACGGAAGACTGACTGCATACCACACAGAGATAGCTTATTTTTTAAATCCCATGAGCTGTTTCTGTTTTTTTTCCTTCCCCAAATCTCTCTTCTGACCCAGTTGCCTCTCTCACACGGCTGAGTTTTACTTGAACCAGCACCATCAGTTCTGGTCTTCCATGTTCATCCCTGTCCTTTGGGTTCTGGCCACTACTCACCTGTTATTGGTTGAATTTTGTCACCCTCCCCCTGAAAATCTTATGCTGAAGTCCAAATCCCCAACCCCTCAGAATACGACCTTATTTGGAAATAGGGCCATGGCAGATGTTAACTAGCTGAGACCATATTGAAGTAAGGTGGACCCCTCATCCAAAATGACTGGTGTCCTAATAAAAAGGGGAAACGTGGGCACAGAGACACAGACACAGGGACAACACCATGTGAAGACTAGAATTACCTGGCACGAGCCAGGGAACCACCAGACGCCAAGAGACAGTCCTAGAACCTCCCACACACCTCCCTCCCGCCCGCCCTCCCGCCCTCCCAGCCGTGCTGACACCTCGGTCTGGAGCCTCCAGCCTCCAGGACTGAGACCACGTCCTTCTGTTGTGTTAGGTCCCCACCCCGACCCCAGTATGCAGAACATCATTCCGGCAGTCCTAGCAAAGTAATACACTACTTACAAGAGCAACTTTTTTTGCTGCAAATACCATTTTCCTATCCCTCCCTTCTAATTCAACAGTTGTGTCTCTGTTTATGTGTTTACGTTCCTTCCCTCCCTCATGGACTGTGAGCCCCTTGGAGACAGGACCTGTGTCATTCTCACTGTTGCCTCCTCCAGACCTGCACGGCGCCTGGCCCCCAGGAGCCACTCAGCAAAGGTTTGCAGAAGACTCCTTAGAAGAGGTAACATCGATGCCTTTGCAGGGTGGCCCGGGTTTGGATGGGGAGAGCTATCGAGAAGGCATTCCAGGGAGGAGAGCAGCATGAGCAAAGGCACCTCAGCAGGAAAAGGCAGCGCAGGGGTGAGTGCGCACCCCGGCTGGCTGGGCTGTGGGATACTGGCAGGGCAAAGCAGGGTGGGACAGAGGTGGGGAAACATGGATGTCGTCAGTGTTTCAGGGAAAGCATTTAGTGGGTCAGGTGACAGGGCAGCGAGGGGCCATGAAAAGGAGATAGAAAAACAGCAGGGGTGTGGGAAGCCTATTCAGCCACAGAACAGACCAAAGAAGGGAGCCCAGGAAGTCTGTGGCTGAGGCGCACTCCAGGGGAGCGGTGCTGTCGGTCTGAACCCACGGGGACAGGAGGACGGAGAGGTGAGAGACGTTTGGGAGGAAGAAATGCCAGCCCGGTTTCTGATTTGTAGGGATTTTCCCCTTTGAGGTGCCAGCCTCCAAGCTCCTCCTCCTTCTGAAGATGCCACACCGAGAATTTCCATGATGTCTACAGTGACATATAAAGCACTCCCCCCCATCGCCTCTCTGACAGCTGTCAGTCTTGGCGAGAGAGCAAACAAACCAAGCCACTTCCACCACAGGCTGTTGAGGTTTCTGGTCACAGTTCAAAATGTCAATTCATGGAAGCAGATGATTTTTTCACCTTTTTAAATATCATTTTTATCACTCAGAAATAATATGTTAACTGTATTATAAAACCTCTAAAAATAGATACCATCAGATCTTATGAGTAGAAGGTGAAAATTGCACTCAGTAAAAATGACCCTGGATATTCCCTTCAGTGGAAGGACTGGGACAGTGAAAATTCAAAAGACAAAGGTAATGTTGTGTAGTTTTCTTTACCTTTTGACCGTGGCCTCCTTTTCCCTGGAGCACTGAAGGCCATGGTCTAGTTTGAAGTGGGTAAGCGGGCAGAGCTTGGAGGAGGTAGGTTGCTGGATTAAGTGCTTGCTGGGTGTGGGTACGTTCTGTGAGTAAGTCCGAGAAGACAGTGAAAATCACCTGAAATCCTCCCACTCACTTTTTTAGGTGAACATCCTCCTTCCAGTGTTTTCCCCCTTGTGCATATTAAAAGCTATTCCCAGTGGAGCATGAAGCACCTCCTGATGTGGTGACCTGGGAAAGACACATCACTTCTGTGGTATTTTTGCCGAAAAGGCAGAACCTGGCAGAGGAGACATCAGACAAACTCACCTGGAAAACCCAGCCTGCAAAACTGGCCTAGACACAGCTAAGGTGTCAATGATGTGACAGACGATGACAGACTAAAGAACGGTCCCCAACTAAGGAGGACAAAAGGGACATGGCACCCGAGTAGAACACGTGATCCTGGACTGGGTCCTGGGTTAGAGGGGGCATGGCTGGGAAGGACGTCATTAAAGCATTCTGTGGAATGCGGATCTGGCTTGAGGACTCGACAATGCAATGCTGAATTTCCTGAATTGGTAACTGTCCTACGGTTGTGTAAGAGAAAGTCTTTTTTCCTTGGGAAATGCATGTTGAATTATTTGGGGTAATGATGCAACATACTCTCAAACAGTTTGGGAAACATGGGTGTACATAGAGAGAGAAGGTGGCAAAGAAAAATGCTGATGGTCGCTAACAGCCGTGAGTCTAGGTGAAGGATGTTGGGAGTTCTTCCGCCAGTTTGACATTGTTTCCAAACTAAGAGTTTAAAAAAATCCAGTTGAATTCAGTCTCTGGAAGAAAATATTTGCAAAGTACATATCTGATAAAGAACCGCTCTAAAAAAAAGTCTATTAAAAATAAAAAATCTTCCGTTTCCTACCATACTCCTATGGCATGGAGTAAAAACAACAATAATGATACCAAGAGTTGGTGAGGACGAGGAGCCACTGAAACTCTTGTACTTTGCTGATAGGAACTAAAAATAGAACAACCGGGTCAGAAGATGGTTTGGCAGTGTCTTTGAAGGTCAAGCACACACATGAAATAAGACCCACGCTCCCTTCCCAGGTGTTGACCCAAGGCAAATGAAGACTTATGTTCACACCAAAGCTTACTTACATGTGAATGTTTTAGTAGTTTTATTTATAATTGCAGCCAGAAACTGGACACAACTCAAATGTTTCTCCATAGGTGAATGTTTGACTCACTGTGGTACATCCACTCATTGAGTGGGCTACTTTTCAGTAATAGGAAGGAACCTCGATTTTGTCAACACCATGGATGAATTTCAAGTGCATCATCCTAAGTGAACGAGCTCAGACTCAGAAGTCTAGGTACTGGGTGATTTCATTTACATGCATTCTGCAAAAGGCAAAAACTATGGCAGAAAAACCGATCGGGGGTTGTTAAGGGTGGGGGTAGAGAAAGGAGTTGACTGCAGAGGGGCTCAAGAGAACTTTTCGAGGTGACGGAAATGTTTTGCATCTTGACTGTGGCGGTGGGTACACAACTGTACATGTTTATCAAAACTCCCGGAAACGTGCATTAAGGGTGAATTTTACCAAATGGAAATTATACCTCAAGTACACAACCAAACAAAGAAGCCAGTTTCTC